GGTAGGCAGAATGGTGTCTGTTTTTTTTTTAATATGAAGGATGAATAAAAATGGGTAAATATTCATCCCTTCATATTCGTGGGGGTCTCTGGAACTCACAAATACGGACTGACAAATATTTAATGAATCGGCTACATTCGTCAGAAAAAGTGATCCGCTTTTATATTCATCCCCATCTCTAATCTGGAGTCCATGTCTGGTTCCCTGAGCAACCATTCTCCCTGTCTGTTCTGGAGATGACTGCAAACCCTACCAAATCACATGCTGGTTTCTCCTAATTGCACAACACAATCTTGCAAGCCTCAGCCAGAAATATTTCTACTTTCTTATGACTTAATCTCTCCCGTTGCGTGATCCTGATTGAAAGACCGTGGATAGTATTAACTGACCTTTTCTGACCTTCACAACATTTCAGCTGGAGTAAAAGAAAAACCAATAATATCAGGCAGAAAGCCTAACAAGGAGGCTTCTGGCATTGCAAGAAGATGTTCTTACAGAGTTTCTGCTAGGATTCCATCAGATAGGCGGGGTATAAATCAAATAAATAAATAAATAAATAATAAATGCATGTAAAAAGGGAAACCAGCTGTCCTTTGCAAAGATGGCAGCTGTGACTTCATTTAGGGTAGGGAAACTGGAATGCAACACAGGAACAATCCATTATAGCTTCCCATCTTAAAACTGTATCCATTATGTCTAAATAGTGAGTGACAAATAGGTGTTCAGCTCTGTTTGTATCATCTCATGATGAAAGGAGTTTGATTACTTTTGACTATGCCGGCTATGGTTTGGGCAGAGGCTTGTAGTCCAAAAAAATTATTTCCCCAGCTCTCATGTTTTCTGCACCATTGGCAATCAGCACTGAGACCATAAAGCTGAAAAATTTACTTCTACAAGAAAAGTCTCTTTGGAACTAGACATTTGAATCTGGGTGCTAGGTCTCTGCATACAGGGTGATTCAAACAATATCTCTATATGGGGCTTGGATGCATTTTTAATAGCTTTACTTGCACCTTAAATTGGCAAATAATTTGCCTCAACTGATTCTTCATTATGAGGATAAGATGGTTGCCCAATGAGGTAAATATCCAACAGATGTCCAAGTGCATAAGGCACTGGGTTTAATACCTACAATCCCTCCAGCAGTTTGAATGGAAACACAGCTGTAATTTTTTTTTATTATATTTATTGAAGAAATGTTAGTAAAACACATAAGTTTAGCAAAAGCTTAATGACTCTAGCAAAATAATAATATGAAGCAGTTCTATACTGAGCAGAGTAAAACCATTTCAGAGTTTCTGGTAATTAGGAATAATTTTTGCTAAAAACAATAAATCTATTTCTATGCTATATTTACCTGTAACATAGTTCCAGAGCATAGGCAGAGTTCAGCATAATGACAGTCTGTGTTCCATATTGAAGAAAGTGTAAAGAAGCTCCAACTTGTTGCTAGAGGTGCTGTTTACTTGACCCATTTTTTCCATCAGACCTTACACAATATCCTATCATCCTTTCATGAGCTGGCTCAACTTTCAGAAGAAGCCAGTTAATTGGTTTCTTCTGCAAGAACACTCTCATGATTTCAGCAAATGCAAACAATCAGTGTACCATGAGAAACCTGGCACTAGCCACTTTTCAGAAGACACTCTAAAGCAGTGCCCCCCCAACCTTGGGCCTCCTGATGTTCTTGGACTTCAACTCCCAGAAATCCTAGCCAGCAGATGTGGTGGTGAAGGCTTCTGGGAGTTGTAGTCTAAGACCATCCCCAAGGTTGGGGACCACTGATGTAAGCCACCTTGGGTCCTTTTTAAGGGGAACGGTGGAGTAAAAATATTTTAAATTACACAGAACTCTGCAATTTGGCAGAACTTGAAAATGTTACTTTTTGGGCTACGACATCCAAAATCCCCCAGCTACCATGAACCCAGGATGTGCTCTATTTCTTACTTCCTTGAATCGGAGGAAGCTGATTTCAAGTGTTGAATCAGTGTCTGAGATCAGTAAAGGATTAGGTGTGGGTTGGAAGACCACTGCTCTAAGGACAAAGATAACCTTCCGCAGCTGTTAGCACTAGTAACTGGACCGCTCATAAATACATGGGCCTGCCTTCCCAATTAACTCAGCTTGGGCACTTTTGAGAATTTAAGAAAAAATGCAGGGATGATTAACCTCTTTTTTGCTTGTTTCTTCGCACTTTTGGGTTGGTCATCTTGTTGATCCAGAAAATTCTTAATATTCTGGAGGAAATCCACATTTCAAATGCTTCTGACTTGTTTATAGGGACTTGTATTAAAGACCACATTCACATACCATACAGTATGACCAAGATGTATGATGCACATTCTCAAAATTATTCTCCTATGGTTTTGTTCACCCTACGTCCTTCATCTTACGGAAGCTGTTTTCTATCCTGACTCTTACTTTGTAGCTGTGCTCCCAAATTCCAAAGTATTTATAACTTCTCAAGTACCACACTTTTTGTACTTCATTTATAGGACTTCTTGCTTTTTACTGATTACCATGAACTTGATTTTCTCAACATTTAGTTTTATGCTATGGTCCTTACTTCACTCGAATGAGTCATATTTACATACTGTCTAAACCATCAGCTAGGAATGCTCCATTATCTGCCATTTGGATATTGCTGAGAATCTCTCAATTGAGAATTATGCCATCCTTTGAATCAGCAAGTGCTTCTGTAGAGAAATGAAAATATCTTTATGAAAAGCAGTGGTATGAGTATATATCCTTTTCATATCTCTATGTCATATGACCTTCAACTAACTGTAGCTTTTTACTACCAGAACAGGTGCCAAATATATGAACACCTCTTGAATTTACAATAACTGCATCAGTTTGCCATACCGGACTTTGTCAAAAGTTTTCTCATATCTGATAAAGCAAACATAGTTTCATGGCATCTTTCCCCAATTATATGTAGGCAATCTCACCAAATTTCAAGGAGGAGTCCTGTTCCATAGATTTAATTGAAAAGATTGAGTAATACATCTAAGTTGCCATTTTTCATTATTTTAAATACCTGTTTAAATACATCATCGAGTCCAGGAGCTTTCCCGATTTTGTTTGTTGTATTTATGTTAATCTTTTGTACTTCTGCGCAGGTAAGAACATCTAATACAGTAAATTCTGCAGATTATCTTCAAGTAGATATTTCACTCTATATACGATTCTACCCTGGAAGTCAAGTATGAGAGAATTATCGCTGTCATCATAATTGGTCTCTGATATATTTTGAATATGCTTGCTACCTTGTTGATCTTTTTATGAAAATTAAAGACGTTTTAGATCTTCTCTAGGTTTTCTACTTCTGAACACAATTTTTCTGCAACTTCTTTAATTTTGGTTTAGATGTTCTTGTGTAATTCTCTGTTTCTATGTTTCATAACAGTTTAGAGATATTTGCATTTTTTACAGTTTTTCTACGTCATCTAAATTAGCATTTGGGACACATACTTAGCCAGTATTGAGATCTGTGTGATTTCCCTTTAGTTGCACAAACATTATCCAGTCAGCATATGAACAAAATTTGTCAGGGTTAGACTTGACCTGTGGTTACTATTACTGCAGCTCCATATTGTTGCCATGCATCGTTATTGATCGAATAAAACATAATATGGCTGGTACTAGTCCGAATCCTTGCCAACAAGTTTCTCTTATCCCAAGAATCTGAATGCTCATCATGTGAATTTCTTTTATTGTACTGTGAATTTTTCCCACCTCATAAATACACCATATATTGTTTTTCTACTATCCCATTGGTCCTTTAAAGACTGTCAGGGTCTGTGGAGCCTTCTCACATTTCTGCTAAGCCATGATGGGTGTACATGGAAGATGCAATGTATAATGATTTCTACATCTCAGTGCTACCTCCAGTTGCAGTTTTTCATACTGAGTCTGGCCAGCATCCTTTCCTTTTGGCCTCCATTTGGTACTCGTATTGCTGCTGTCCAAGAAGATCAGATGGAAGTTGGAGGCAGCTGATTTCCTAGAAGCATCTCAAGCCTCCTGGTCATGCTCCTCCACCAAAAGCTGTTGGGTGAATTAGTGTGGTTGACATATGTGGTAGCACAAATCAACAAAGTCAGTCCAAAGACATTCTGTATATTGCTATACAAAACAAAACAAAACACTGCTATGCCAGAAAAAGTCAACCTGTG